CCTCACCGGATATTACTTCTTAAACCATATATATATATATATATGATTGTACAGCTTGATGATAAATTCGTTGAAAAGAGTCTCTTCACTGAATGGATCACTTGTTTTGATTTTCTGTATATTAGTCACTGGGGGAGTGCAGCGATATTTAGATGGAATGGACAAATGAGCTTTATTCAACTGTACAGTTCAGGGAATAGGATTATTCACTATGCAGACAGATCTGGTGTTGTTGTGGTTGTTGTTATGCATTTTTTGCATCTTTCATATTCTCTTTCATATCATACTTGCACACAATGAATGTGTTCAATCTCCATGAGACAATAAAACAAGAATTTCTACGGAAACAAGTCGATCTGTTCAGTTTAAACGATGGTATGCTACCTAGTGGTTGGGTTTCAATCATTTTAACAATATGTCCCTTTTTGTGTTTGTTTTTTTATTTTGTCGACATGCTTCTGATTCATTTTTAAGGAATAACAATTTATAGTTTTCAAGAGAATGGATAGATACTGAACAAAGAATAAGTCCTCTTTTCGATAACCCCTTCATCACCATCCTCATCAGGCTCTACAGTTAGTGATATATCCATCCATTATGGTGAATGAATGAATGAATGAATTAGTGTTATGAACAACAACAACATATAATATTGCTGTTTAAATGACACCGAATCAATAATAATAATAATACCAGTGGATTACAGTTCAATAGCATCAATATAACAATAGGCTGAACGTTAGCTGAATTAGGAAAGATAATATTACAAATTCATGAATTTATAGTCTCCACCCACTGAAGGCCAGTAAGAGCAGTAGTAGGGGCTGGCTAGCTGGACTTGCTTCTTCTCCACATAAACAGCACTGGTTGTTTGAGGCGAATTGCAATAGCCTCTGGTGTTTGGAGCATGCGGTGCGTGCTTCGATGATGATTTTGTCAATCTGTTAGGCAACCGAAAGATGATGATTGAGAAGGATTCTTCATTGCTAGCTGGCTAGCTGACTGGCTGACTTTGTGGTCGGCCGGCCGGTTTTCACCAGATGGTCGAATATCGAACTGTTCACGATGGTTTTCACTGCACACCTTTACTTAACCATAATCAGAGATGTTCTCTAGTGAGCGACCACGAAAAATCAAGTTCCCAGAGCGACAACGGTCGACATAACTCGCTCCATCACAAGCACAGCTGCAGTTGGATTGGTAGATACAATTTGAAGTGGCCAGCTAATCTAGTCTAGGTACTTCGTCATTCAGTTGAGGAATCACCATCGGTCGTGTAGAGAATAAAACTTGTAGTTTATCTACAGTTTGTATACAATATTATATTAGATAGTTGGAGGCAATCGGCCACACGAAGACTCACTCGACCTAGGTTTCGTGTTAGTTGGCACTCACCGGTCATTGAGCTAATTGGGCTCGCGACTGACCTCCTGTAGGACTGTAGTGGGTATTTTCATTGGACACTAGTAACTAGTGGTAACGTCTCTGACAGCAGTATTCACTGGGTGACGCGGGTTCGAATCACAGATAGGTGGGCATGAGCTGTCCCCTCAATGTGGTTACATATACGCCTTGATGACTGACCAGTGAGTGCGAGCTAGCACGAAATCTAGGTCCGGGTTAGGCTTCCTCTGGTCAATCGCCTCCAACTATCTAATATCATCGAATCAATGTGTGCACCGTGATGGTGAACTGCCTAGTAGCATGGTGGCCACATTGCAAACCTGACTGACAGACCGATAGAATTCAGTCTGCACCAAAGAAAGTACTAGTCAGACTCCTCACACTAGTTAGTGACTAGTGTTCAATGAAAAAACAACATGACATTGTTTGTCTGTGGTCCAATGTTGCTAGGCTAGCCAACCACGCAAGAGGTAAGCGTTTAATTCCCCTAAGATGCATCCTTAAACCTCGCCTAAATAGTAACAAGCCCAGTAACAATACTACTCGCTAGTTCCATATTAGTTTGTTTATTAGATGTATCACACAGTCAGTGAAACAGTATTAGTATTTACTAGATGACAAGGTTGGGTGTGAGACTAGTAAGTCTACCGCGAAAAAAACAATCCCGCGCCGCTACTGAAAGAAACTTTAAAAGGCTCTTCACGGAACACTCATTTAGCATAATTTTTAAGAGTGTCTGTTAAAAATTACACGGAAAAAAGAATGAAATTTCCTCCACAAACAGGCAAACAACGTGTCGTCTGACTTTTTACATTAGGAAGTTCAGGCTCTCAGGCATAACCCAACCTCTCCTCCTCTTACAGTTTGTCAACTCGTGCATGTTACCTATTCTTCTTTACTGCTCACACCTGCTTATTCTCTCATGGATTGTTTAAAAAAGGCTGTGTCATACTTCGTGGAACTCCGAAGACTGTCAGTCAGCCAGTAGTGCAACTGGTATCCCATTGGGCCATATCGTTGACATTGTTACACTGTTAGGCACTTGATATCATGGAGCAAATTTGCTGAAGAAATTTTGTCAAGCTGTGAGCATCCACCATAGCACCCACAGCTCCAACCTTGTGTCTCCTCCTCAAGTAAAACAAGAAGTCTTTCCAGAAGACTTTATGCACGTACGTCGCAATATAAAAATTTCCCTATACCGTATTTGGTGGTACGTACTTTATGTGATGGAAATAGTGTTAGACATGAACTAACTAGCTAACTAACCATCTTCACACTACTAAATAAACCATTTCCTCCACCCTCCTTACTACATCAACCTTTATTGTTATTGTACTTCTTATATTTACAATCCTGTCAATTTTTTGTTTTTATTTTATTTGTTTATTTTCTCACAAGTGTGAACATAATTTAACCTGTGTTATAACTGTTAATTTTGTATTTCCCCTCAGTATGCTGCTATATCAACAGAACACTAGATTTAATACTCTGTGATAACATGGTAAAATTTCTATAGTGACTGAATCGACAATATTGTTTGAAACAAACTCACTGTTATTATTATATTTAATATCCTCAATTCGTGCTTAGAATATTTTTGACTTTATATCGTAAACGTGGACAAATTCCTCTGGTTAATTTTGTTTTAATTTTTAATTTTATTTATATTTTAAGTAAATCAGATGCAAGGTGTTGTGACAAATGCTGAGAATTCCATTCTGTATTATAAGTACTGTCTGTTTTCGAATAAAGTAGATTATTATTATTATTATTATTAGAAGCATGTTTAATCAGGGCTCAGAATAAATATCAAATTTCTTTAGGGTTCATATAAACACAGAAAATTTGAAAAAGGCGCCTAGAATTTGGTATTATCAATCTCTATGTCATACATAAGATTAGGTTATACTAGGTTATATTAGGCGAAATCAAATAAATAAACAATAACGACACTAAGAACACTGAATTGGTCACCATTTGTTTATTTTACCTGTTTTTTTATATTTATTTTTGATTGTTAGTTTGTATAGTTTACAAGATTGAAATATGAGAAACTGACTGGGGCTGGGGGGAACATATTCATCGAAGTATTATTGATATAAGTATAAAACTTGGGCACTGTAGTAGAGCTCACCAATTCCACTACATGCATTAACACAACCACACAATAGCATGGTGGGAGACGGTTAAGATTCTAAGAAGTAATCTATGAAGATGGAGATAGAAAGAGGTTGATTACTGAATCCTGCCTGGCTCATTGAGTCTATACCCAACACAACACATGCAACAGAAATGATTCAATGCAAATACCAGAAATATGCATGGAAGATATTATTACCACCAGTCAGTCAGTGAAATCAGAGGAGGATAATTAATAATCTTAACTTGTATTCTGTTTCAATGCAATTCACGTACATCATCACAACATTCTAACAAGTTACTCACTTATTTTGACTATAAAAGAAACACTCGTCTTATTTCCCATCTGATTATTGTAATTGATCACTCATAACACTCATATTATTATTATTATTTCTGAATGTACATTATCCTATATTACTGATTTGTATTCAAATGTCTAATCATGAATTCCACTCATGTATATAAATGAAGGAAACAAGGAAGTTTTGTGAGTGAGTGATTGAGTGACTTGATATGATTATGAGCGGCAATAATAATAAATTGTGCTCGAAATGGCGTGTGGTCGCATCAGTTAGTATTACTGTATAACAAACACTACACTGTGTGACACTTTATCAAAATAAAATCATATCCGTAATGGAGTTATATTCATCTAAGATACAGAATTTATTAATATTTAATTGTTAAAAAGACAGTTGCAGTGAAGAAAATTTTCTTTTCGATGCAGTCACCATCAGCTAGACAGAGCTGTACATTCGTGTACTTATAATAATAATAATAATAAATGGGTAGGACAGTTCCAGAATAACTTCTGGTCAAGGGTCAGATTATTACAATTACAGTTATTACAGGAATTAAATTGTCATAATAAACAAGGTGTGGGGGGATGGATAAAGCTAAGACAAAGTAGCATCATGATTACTGATTGAAGATTGACATTGGAAGGACTCAGTGCTTGTATGTGTGTATAACAGACAGACAGCAGACAGTGTTTCGTTTCGTTTCTACTCTACTCTACTCTACTGATGAGGATAAGGTTCAAACTAGGCAACCAATTCAGTTTGATTGCATGGAGGTGGCAGAGTGGTTAGGATTCTCGCCGACCATGCACATGGTCCGAGGTTCGATCCCCTGCCGACGAAGCACACCTGATATCTATAGTCGGTCTGCGAAATTTGGCCTACCGATATCCATGCTGAAAATTCCATCCATACTTGTACCAAAAATACAGTGTGGAATCAAGCTGTAATCAAAAATAAAATAAACACAAAATCCCTACAAAACTAATACTTGAAAACTAACTTACTGGTCAGTGAGTAGATGAAAAGATGACCACGGAATTGTTTGTTTAAACGTACTCCTTTCTAAAAGAAATTCGCATCTGTGATATTTAAATGTATATATGTTAAACAGAATAACGGTTTAAAGTTATGTAACCATATAGTACTCACTTGACTAGTTTCCGAAAATAGTACACTTGTCATATTTGTATCATTCGACACTGTTTCTGTGACATAAGGATCAACACTGAAAAAAGAACGAATAAGGCATGTTAACTGATGAATAAGCTGCAGGAACAAATCATGCTTGGAAAAAAATACAAAAGCACACTTGAGCAAGCTTTCAGTTGAATGATTTCAGTAACAGTAAAAGCAGCTCTACCTACTAGCCGTGTTTCTAGTGTAGCTCCGAAGTTAAGTCTGTCTGTCTTTTGAAAGTGTGAGGGCGGTTGTTACTTCCTGTCCGCCCACACTGTGGAAGTTGATTGATTCTTCGGGTACCTGAAACAGAAAGAGTGTTGTGTGACCCCAGAGCCCAGGGTACAACCACTTGAGCCAGGCCGGTCACACACACCCTGTATGAACTGGTTTCTGGGATTGGTTCCATATTAGTAAACTTACCGCCGGTTACGCACTACCGTAGATGTGGTAAGTCGGGATGTACAATTGCTGGGTTCGACTTTTTCTAACCATATCTCTCCAGCAGAGTGGCGAGACAGCATAAGTGGCTGGCACGCTTGTCATATGAGGGAAACACCTCACTGAGGCTGTTACATCCCTGTTCCCCAGCAGTACGACTTCACCCTCAGACCCCCAGCAAAGTGTGAGAAAGATTCTTGCACAATAACGGTCACTACTTTTAGTCTAATTGCTATCCTAAGAACCTTCCTGGCATGGCAGGTAGGACCTGCAGGAATATTGGTTCCAGCCAGTGTAGTTTGTTAGGTCATCGTGATGTGCAAGCGCGACCACCACGTCAAGGTAGCAGCCGTCGGTAAAAATAAAGAAGAAAAAGAACATAACATCGACAATGAATGTCAGGAATGTCAGCCCTACATGACTTAGATTTTTAGGCTCATCGGGACTCTCATGCAATGAGATTCCCATTTATAAATTTGAACAAAGAAAGAAGAAACATTGGCGCGCAGAATAATCTGGATCCATTTTATTTCGTCGATTCTCATCAGCAGCTGCGTACAACCTGAATTCATAAATAAAATAGAAATTAAAAGTGTACAATTTTAACAAACGTTTGTCCATTAACAAGCCTATTGTCAGAGCGTCATAGTGAACTACGGCGTTGCGATTTACAAGGTGTCTAAAGTGTTACGACATATATATATATATCTTATTGGAGAGAAGTTTCTTGAAAAAAAATCAATTAACAGTTGTGTTGTTGGGATGATAACAAAATAAAATGAGTAATAGTTACGTAATTAGATTTTTTTATCATAGTTTGATTCCACACCGTATTTTTAGAACGGGTATGGAATTTTCAGCATGTGATATCGGTAGCCCAAATTTCTCAGGCCGACCACAGATATCAGGTGTGCGTCGGTGTGGGCTTGAACCCCGGACCATGTGCATGATCGGCGAGAGTCCTAACCGCTGCGCCATCGACGCACAGAAGATCAAAATTTCGGTCCACATGAGGTCAGATGAGAGAGAAGTTGATGGCGTAATACAGTAAGCAGAACTCAGAAGATCAAGAAAAATTATCTCCTAAGATAGTCAAGCAAAAAATAAGGCGGGAGGGTGTGTGAGTGAAAAGATAGGTTAACAAAATTAGAAAGCGAAGGCTTACTAAGAAGTGAGTCTCCGAGGTAATCGGAGTCCAACAACGGATTCTTTTTGGACACATAATTCAGGCTTCAATCGTTTCATTGCTATAGCTTCAGTAAAACTGAGAAGACTTGAAGTACATTTTCTGTTAATTATTTTGTATGGGACTCATCAATAAGGCCTATTTGTAATTCTGAGAGGGAAATGTGTCCTTAAAAATGTGAACTCGTTCCCTCTTTGACAGTGTTGCACAAGAAGCGAACAGACATGTCAACTTAAGACCGACCACTTCGGTCCAATCAATCGACGGGAAACTCCGGACACCATAGAAGATGAACTGGATAATCTCAAGAGAATCCTTGTCGAGAATTGTTATCCAGAACGATTTGTTGCAAAAATCCATGAATCCTAGACCGCAGAAGCCACCCACGCTTAGCGTCCCAAAAGAACTACTCTACATGAACCTTCAATTCAATGGAGATATATGTATTTACGGAAACACTGAAAAATCGACTGTCACGCTCACTTAAGAGAAATCCTTCTTCGCAGATGAACTACGACTAACCTTCTCCACAAAAGAAAACCTGTGATTCATGTGAACGTGAAGGATAAACTACCACTGCTGGCCACCTCATCAATGCGTATTTATCAATTCACCTACTCGTGTGGAGCCAAGTATGTCGGCCGTACCCAGCGTTCGCTTTCGAAACGTATCACCGAACACTTACCCATAGTCATGGTTTTACAAAGGAGAAAAACGATTCCCCCTCCAACCACAGCTCTATCTTAGAACATCCGATAGATTCCGGGCACCAAGCTACCCCCTAAAGCAAACTTCGAAGTTGTCTACAGAGTAGGAAGTAGTCTCCGTAAAGGGGTGTACGAATCAGACTTCTTCAAACTGCAGAAGCAATGGAGATTCATCACTTGCTAAGTCCTGAACTATGCATACAGAAGAAGTGACTTGGAGGAGGTCATGTGAAGAGAAGATGGGCAGGCTTGGAGCGGGATGAAAACGCTGGCAGAAAACCGAACGCAATGGAGACGTGCGGCTGAATCCCTATGTTCCTCTAGGAATTAAAGGAAATAATTATATATTTATATATAATATATATTTAAAGACTTACGTTGAATAATCCAAATTCCATATTTCTAGAAAACTTTCGTTGGCTACAGCAAATGTTAAGGAGTTATGCGGTGACCAAGATAGGGAAGGTACCGTCGTCTAAATAACAAAGAAAACAACAAGCGAAATGACCAACGACTAGTGAAGTGCTGGAAGGAGCAAATAGTTTCACAGACTGGCAGAGCAATTCAATCACTGAGAAATACGGAAGTTTGAAATGACAGCGTGTGTGATATTCGATGAACAACTCGCTACCAAATATTTAAATAATAAACATTAAGAAGACAAATGCTGTGAGATGAGATGATTTTGTAGTTTCTTGCGATAGTTTTACAACCGATATGGCTCATGATGATAGAGAAGATTTTTAGCTCAGGTGGATGATTTGCAATTAATAGTGTTCTCTGAGGTGGTTGGTTTAGTTGCAGAGCTTTCGTCGTCCTTTTGGACAACATCTTCAGCGCAATATTTAGCATAAAGTGAAATGATTTAAATTTCTTCATGAGTGATAGATAGAATTGCGTCTCCCGGTACCCTTCTTTACATACGTATTGATCATTTCTATTGACTTGGATTTTAAACTTTCTTGTCACATGAACTACTTTTTATTAGTTTGTATATTTGGTCTATATTAACATCGTTTGTTAATTGCATATTCGTTTGAGTACCAGGTTTCTTCCTAATGTATAAGTTGGTTTTTTGTACACACTTGTGTGCACACTAATATGTACAAAAACCAACTCATTCTAATAGATACTTAGACCTTAATTCATCTCATCCGATAACTGTTTAGGCAGGCTTAGTTAAGTGTTACCGAACCGAGCAGTAGCACTAAGTAGCACAAAAACAGACCTAAATGATGAAATCAAACAGATATAAGAAGAGGCTTTGGTGTCAAATAACTAACTATCCTATAAAATTCATTAGGAAGATCGAAAAATGCCAAAGACAAAATAAAAATAATTGTGAAACTAGTAGTGATAAAATAAATAAGAGGGAATATAAGTCATCCACTGTTATACCATATAAGGAGGGGACATCTAAGACTTTCCATATGTAGGATTCCTCACTCATACCCGAAATATGGAAAATGCTACTACCAATCAAATCAAGTGAAAAATAATGGAACTATATAAATGAAGTCAAGAAGACGTGTGAATACCTTGATATGATTATAAGCAATAAATTGTGCTCGAGACGTCATGAGTAAACATTACTGCATAACATTGTGAGACTTTATCAAAACAAAATTTACCCATAATGGAATTATACTCTACTACAGTGCATAAGATTTATTCTTATACCAGCAAGGAATATCCTTTTCGATAAATTCCTCCTCCTCTTCTTGTTCTACAATTATATCTATATATGCATATGTTTATATATACATAGAACATTCTAGACTAGTAGTAGTCAATAACAATATTCGTGTGCTTTTTAAATTATAATATCGATTTGTAAAGTAAGATCACAATGGAATCACCACCGTAGTTCATTAAAGATGCTTAAATTAGAATAATAATAATAATAAAGATATAGTAAGTAGGAAATAGAATATCAACCAAAACTAGGAAAGTTCCACAACAAATTCAATTCAGGATCATTCAAACCTAGATGGATGGCCAAGCGGGTAGTGATAATGTCTGAACCAACCAACTTCTTTTGGATGCACAAATTAGGCTTGTTACTCTGGATCCCAACGGCCAGCCAGCCAGCCTCAGCAATATTTAGTAGTCGAACTACTCTTAAGGCGAAATTGAGATTCGTTGGTTGATATGTGGTAAATGACAATGAAAGCCGCCTTGTTAGCATCAATCAGTCTTGTGTTCTGTATCCACAAGATGAGTGAGATAGATAGAATATAGCGGTGTGAATAGATTTTGTTTTTCCTCTGCTTAACCAACCATTTTTAGGAGGATGTTATTTCATATTGGTCCTACCTATATATATATATATATATATATATATATATATATATATATATATATATATATATATATATATATATATATATATATATATATATAGGGAAAAGGGCTACAGAGTAGAATGTGTGCTAGATAGCTGACTGGAACCCCTGAAATGTCATTTACATGGCAGTTTGATAAAGACAGTTTTGGACAGCTGTTTCATCAGCCTAATTTGGGACTCTTCATCAGGACGCACCCACAGGGATTTAAACCCAGGACTTTCTGGTTAAAAGGCGAGCTAGCTCGTAAATCATCGAGCCACTGGGACCCGATCCAATGGCCAGTCAGCCCACAGATTCTAACTTCTGCCAATTCACGCACGACATAGCGCGACCATTTCGCTGTTCAGTACTCCCAGGTGGGTTTTCCAGTGGTATTCTAACTGATATCAGTTCATGATGAAATCCTCCAAGCAATAAAACAAAATCCCTACAAAACCATTACTTGAAAAGATAGTTTTCTTAGGTACCGAAGTTATCTCTACAAGGGATAGTCTATCTTTATTGTGAAATACCACGAAGTTCTCAAGATAGCCATTCGCCAACGAAAATGAATTTATGCGTCTTAACTCATCCATTAATGTATCGTTTGTGAAAATTTTATGCACGCTTGAAAAAGGGGCATTTTACTAGGGAATGTTTGTACTGGATATTGTCGACTTCATGTCCACCTGGGGAATTTTCATCACATAACTGTTCCTTCGATCCACCTATCCACTAAAATATTCAGGAAACCCCAGTAGTGTGCAGCAGGTCTGGAGTGTGGGCAAATACTCTCCGAAGACATTGGCTATGGGTCGCGCTATGTCATGAATTGACAGAAGTTAGAATCCACGGGCCACTGGATCGGGTCTCAGTAGCTCAATTGTCTACGAGCTAGCTCACCTTCTAACCAGAAGGTCCTGGGATCGAATCTCAGTGTGTCCGTACTGATGATGAGTCCCAAAATAGGACGAAACAGCTGCCCAGTACTCCCAGATTTTCCAATGCTTTTCTAGCTAATGTCAGCTCATGATGAAATCCTGTAACCAATCAAATCCCTACAAAACAACACTTAAACCCCAATTTATTACTCAATTCAAATTTGGATAAATATGATTAAGTAAATCTAATGAGTGAGTCGGTGGCACAGCGATTAGGACGCTCGTCTACCATGCACATGGTCGGGGGTTTGAACCGCGGCCGGCACACTCCTTTACCGCGCTAAGCCAGTAGTGAGACTGGTAAAGAGGGCATGAGGCCAGCAACCCCATCCTGTAGAAATTAACACTGCTACAGAAACTTCAAGCCTCTACCTTGGAGTCCTATGTTCCACTGGGAACGTGAAGGAAAAAAAATTTAATAAAGTTTTCACCAAACAGTGGGACATTATCATCCACATGAAAGTAGTTTTTTTCTGGAATACTTTCTATTTCATGCTCCAACTCCATCATATATACGTCTGTTGATCCGAAGATTTCAATATAGAAAAAATGCCCATTCAGCAATAAACTTTACCACAGAGAAAGGAAATAATGACAGTATCTCATTCCTAGACGTCTTCATGGCAAGGAAAGAATATGGCACACTAAGAAGGAGTGTGTATAGGAAACCTGCATCAACAGGTCAGTACACTCATTTTTTGAGTTTTGTACCTCTGAAATATAAACGCTTAACCTGGTAAAGTGTCTGGTTTATAGAACTAGGTTAATCTGTTCAGACGACTGCTTCAATGAAGAGATTACTTAGAAAAATGGTTATCCAGATAAGTTCATTGAGAAAAATACGAATTCAACACCTAAGAGGGTCAGTATGGCAACAGTTCCGAAAAAACCAATATCCATAAAACTGCAGTTCCTCGGTGACAAGATCAGGGAAATAATAACACAGCGCCTGAAGAATGCAGTTAAAAGAGCTTATTATACAGCAGAGGTACGTCGTCTCTTCACAACCACCCCTATTCTACGTTCGAGAAATAAGGATAAACCACCTTAATTTACCACATCTATGTGTATCTACCAGTTTTGACTGCAGCTGCGGAGCCAGCTACATCGATGGGCGTACAGTTAGGCATAGTATTTCCGAACATCATCCGACATGGTTAAGCAAGGGACAAACAAGATCTATTCGTAGCAGCTCTATTTTAGCACACCTTGTAGATAATGAGCATAAGGTTGATGTTAATACTGCATTTAAAATTATTTATCGCATTCCTACTAATCTTAATTCTGCTCTACGAGTTCGTCTTCTACATACGACAGCTGAAGCAATAAGAATCCACCTGAAGATGCTAAACGTGTGTGTATTCATAAGAAATTTGTACAGCCACTTTCCTTACCTTCCTTGGCCCTCGTTACATGATTGAATAAACCGGACTACTTTACCCCCTCCCCTTAGACCTTTAAAAATTATATTTGTCTAAATTATTTTATTTTTCTGACTACGTCATCTTTAGTTACGTGTTATTCTTGGGACCACTTCCGTCTCTGTTATCATTGCCCAAATCATTTTATTTTCCTAAACAATCTGTTACGTAATCAACCTCTGTACATGCTTACTCCTTAATTACTCTTCATTTTTCCAAAATTATGCATTATTCAATCCACTTGTTGTAACCATAAATACGTCTGCTAACACAGTGGAGTATATTCGTTTGAACAATCATAGGAAAAATGAAATTCTTATTCACCAAATTTGTGTAAACTTATATCACATAGGAATATATTTATATATATATATATATATATATATATATATATATATATATATATATATATATATATATGTATAGTCAAGCCTATAACCACAAGCGAATTATAGAAAATCAACTCACACTGACGAAATACAGAATTACAACAGCAACAGTCCAATAACACACAAAAGGAATTGAACAGAAACACTATTTAAGAGGGCCAGGACTCATTGCACCACTCCCAATCTTAAGGAAAATTAAAGAAAGATGTCTCACGGACATCTTCAAAAAGAATGGATATCCACGTAACTTCATCAAAAGACGTATACCTTCAAGCCAACCCCCAATAAAAACACAAAGAAAAACGCTCCACCACATATAAAGTATACCTCAGAAATCACTGCAACACTCTTCAAACCTTTGGGAATTGACATCACACTTCACTTTAGTTCTACGTCA